AGCATAACATCTATCATAATTTATTCATCTTAAAACATTAATAATTTTTATTATTACTATAGAAATAACCTTAAAACTCTCATAGAATTAAAATAAATACCTTTGAATAAATGACCAACTAAAGGTGGCACATAAACAACATAACAACCCCACAAATTTTGATTACATAATAGGTTAATTTAAATGTTCATTAATTATGATCATCAAGGATGATCTCACCCATACTTGCCACTAAATAAAAAATTAGAAAAAGGGTAAAGCGATACTTATGAGAAATTGATTCTCCCTTCATAAGTTGCTACTAGATGAAATTTTTTTGAGCAAAAAATTGCTCAATTTAGATGACTCCAAAAACTTGCAAGTTATACATATTTAGCTCTCAAATATTGGATTTATTGTAGATAAAATTAATTATCTCATTAGAAATCAAGGTAGGAGAAGCCTCAATAAAAAAGCTTTTCTCTTTAGAAGGTAAGTCTCATTTTCCCTTTTTTAACAAAAGCCCCCATCACAATAAGTGAGTCCTTAAGGGTGTCTATGTGACTGTTCAAGCTAAGGAAGGCTTCATTTTGGAAATCTTAGCCATCATACCTTCCACTTGTTTGAATAAAGTAAGATCATGAAAGTTACTCAACCTCAGAGAAGTAGAACAATGAACCTTACTTTTTGTTTAGAACCAATTTAGGGAGTTCTTTTCCTTCTTTGATGTCAACATGAATGAACGGGTGGACTTTTTCTATAATTTAAGGAGTTGGGCTAGTATCGAGTTGTCCAAGAGTTCTCATTAACTATATGTCTATAATAGCCTTTAACCAAGGCTCATTCACTAAAATAATTAAGAAGAGAGTATTCCCTTCTTAAAAATCATTAAAAGGAACTTCCATGAGATGTAAATGAATATCTCTTAATCAAGGTTGAGTTCAGAAATCCAAATTTGTGATATTTATAGGATTTGATCTTGCAGAACTATATTATAAAGCCTTGCTTATAATACATTGAATCACTAAATCACTTTGTAATTGCAAAGACAAAATTAATCAATATATCCCCTTTAAAGGAGCAAATTGACAAACCATAACACCTACAATGACCGATTACTCAAGTTTCACAGAAGTCATAAAATCCTCCTATGATAAATTTTTCATCTTAAAATTTTTTCTCCAGAAATCATCAGTTCCTTTTATAAAGATAAAAATTATTTGAGTTAGATTAGTTGTTGGTCTAGTAAAGACATTGCTAACTCTAATATCAGTTCAGGGATACTCAATACTATTGCGATAATGATAACCAGAACCCTCATTGAAGGCACTTAAGCGATAGCTAAATTATGTTTTCCATTGCTTTGCTTGCTTCACCCTTAATCATCTCATCTTCCTTGCAACTGGCTGGCCAGATTTTATTTCTTTCTCCTACCTCAAATGAAGTTATTTGTACTTCTAAAGAATGCTTTAGAGTAACTTGTGGTTAAAAATATTCCCAAATTTCATGGTTGGGTGTTAGCCATTTCAAGTTAAAATTAAAAAAAAAATAGTAGGTTTGAAAGGAAAAGGAAGATGATGATGCATAAAGCTACACTTTAAATTAGAGGGGTTTGTTCAAATTTTTAGGCTACTAGAAGTAATGAGATAGCATCAATGAAATCAATGATATTATTAAAATGATAAATAAGCATTTTTTTAATAAAATAAGTCATTAATATAATGAAACCTCTTTCACTTCTCCTCATTGCTTAATTAAGGAAAATGTGCTATTTGATTTTTTATTTCTTTTAGATGGAACTTTTGAAAGATACAAAAAAATTAATGAAATAAATATATGCATAATCATATCAAGAGTATAAATAATCATATCAAGAGTATAATTCAATTAGGGCCAGGTGGCTCAAATCTAGCGAGCAAAATGTGAGAGTACGGACGAAGCATTTCACCATAATCTTCAGGACTTGTTAATTTTTTGCAGAATCATAAGTGCATGAGACCTTACTAGGCCTACTCACCCAAGTTCAAGGACTTTTCGTCCAATGACCAAATGCACTTGTTTAATTCTAAGGCTTACTTGTTCAATCACTAGGCATACTCTCTCAAGCTTAAGCATTTCTCGCTTAAGGCCAAAACCACTCAACAATGTTAGACTGGTTAATAAATTCATTAGAAGGTTGGGTGCTTCATCAAAATGATTGGTGACTTCATTGATAGATCAATAACAATGATTGACTAGCCGGTGACCTCTATGAATAACAAATTAAAACAATTATCCATATAGACTCAAGTAATTTATCATTATATAAAAGCTGTATTCTTTATATTTTTTAATTCAAGGATAGCTTTTTTTTTATTTAGAGCCATAATCCTATAAATAAATAATCAAAGGTTAACTAACTGACAAAGAGTTCATTTAGAGATGCTTGTAGCTAATAACTATCTCTAAGTTTCCCTCTTTGCAAATCATATCAAGAGTATAAATAATCATATCAAGAGTATAATTCAATTAGGGCCAGGTGGCTCAAATCTAGCGAGCAAAATGTGAGAGTACGGAGGAAGCATTTCACCATGCATACTCTCTCAAGCTTAAGCATTTCTCGCTTAAGGCCAAAACCACTCAACAATGTTAGACTGGTTAATAAATTCATTAGAAGGTTGGGTGCTTCATCAAAATGATTGGTGACTTCATTGATAGATCAATAACAATGATTGACTAGCCGGTGACCTCTATGAATAACAAATTAAAACAATTAACCATATAGACTCAAGTAATTTATCATGTATATAAAAGCTGTATTCTTTATATTTTTTTAATTCAAGGATAGCTTTTTTTTTATTTAAAGCCATAATCCTATAAATAAATAATCAAAGGTTAACTAACTGACAAAGAGTTCATTTAGAGATGCTTGTAGCTAATAACTATCTCTAAGTTTCCCTCTTTGCAATCTTTTTTCTTCTATGAATTGCACTTCATTTTCTATTCCATAAAGTAAAGACAATTTCTCCATTCTCTCTTTCAAAATTTCTTTTTTCTTCTTCTTTGATTTATTTCTCTCCATTTTCAATTCCATTAATTTTAAATACAACAAGGGCTTTTAAAAATCAAGTTGAATTTTTATCTCCATGATGCACAATCACATGTTTATGAATGATTTAGAGTAATAATTTGCTGTTTAGTTATGCAGAAAAATTAAAATAATATACTAAGAAACATCCAAATGAGCCCTATGGGGAGAAGATTAGGAGCCTGATTAAATGTAATTAAAATAATCCTACAACTGTTTGAATTTCCTTTAAGAAATTATAGTATAAATTAGGGCTATCAAGACGAATTCTTGTTCATGAACAGCTCGTGTTCGGCTCGTTAACTTCGTTCGATAAGTTAACGAGCCGAACACGAACAAAAATGTGTTTGTTCAAGTTCGGCTCGTTTTGGCTTGTCATCAAGTTTATATACATATATGAGTAGTATTTTAAAAAAATTTAATTGATTACAAGGCTACAAAGATTTATAATCAATTAAAATATTAATTAAAAAAATAGAATAAAAATTATTAAATTAGATTCAAATGATGTTTTAATATAAATATTAATTAAGACAATAGAATAAAAATTATTAAATTAGATTCAAATGATGTTTTAATATAAATGTTATAAATATTGCCCTAAGCCTTAACTTCTTATGGCTACGTGATTAGAGTTGTCAAAACGACTCTTTATTCGTGAACAGCTCGTGTTCGACTTTAGCCATGCTCAGCTCGTGTTCGGCTCGTTTATACTTCAAGCTAAATAAGTGCGTTCGTGTTCGGCTCGTTTATATTTTCGCTCGTGTTCGGCTCGTTTACACCCCTAGTATAAATTAATCAATCCAATATTTTATTACCCTTTTCTCAAAATAAATTTAAAATCCCGAAACACATCTTAATCAAATTTAAATCAAATCCTCCCCAAATTTAAGACAAACGGGACAAATTCTTTCAAAGAATCTAGATAATGCGAATTGCCTTGATATGAATAACTCAAACTTGTCTATTTGCAGAGAAAACAAGGATGAGTTAAAAAGGGTAACAAACAAGGATGATAAACAGCGTCGGAACCATGTTATTTGGAGGGTGCGCAATTAACGAATTTGAATTTATTAATAAGCAGTGAAATTTAATAAATTTTTTTTTGTACTTTAGAGAACTTAATAATTTGCCCCTCTCGGTACATATTTTGCCCAATACAACAACTACGAAGCCGTAATCCACTACGTGAGGTGGGGTCAGCTACATGAATCGTTTTTCTCCATTACGTCCTATTTAGTGACATATTTTCAGTTAATTCTAGTAAATTAAGATCATTTTTTATACAAAAAACCCAAGTCTTCCTAGGCCCACCTCTGCCTTTCTTAACAAAAGTCGAATCTAAAAATATCTACTCTCCTAATCGGATCATCAGATGGTCAACGTTTAATGTGACCAAACCATCTAAGACGACCTTCTCTAATTTCGCCCAATGCTTAATAAAAAAAGATAAACTTTTGAGGGATTTAGCCACCCTCAAAAATAAAGTATTTCATCCTAATGACAGGGAGACTTAGATTCCACAACAACATGTTGTGCCGCAAATAAAAATAATTTCATAAAATTATTTGAATAGTAAGCACCATAAATTTCCAATAAATAATTAAAAAAATTGATTATAAAACTTATCCTATTATAATAACATATACTAATTTTAATTAACATATTAATTGATAATAAAAGTTCATAAAAACAGAAACCATTTATACTGCCCATTTAAGAAAAACATTTCATTTTTACAAATCTATCCTGCCCACAAATGGCATTTATTTTGATATAAAAGCTTCATATAAACGAATCTGTAATGCTGCACTATTCTCAAAATAAATCTAATAACGTTCAAACCCACCCACATATAATCTGGATCAAGCGGCATAAAATACAGATGCAGTTAAAAACAAAACATGGAAACATTCTGACAATGTAATGTTGCATGAAAGTGAAGTGCCAGATCAAAATCTAAAATCCAATATCATGCTATTCAGCCATAAGCGCAACATATAGCCTGGATAGAAACCGATTTCAAGCATCCATATATAGATTAACAACAATATAAAGTTGCTGCAGCAGCACAGCCAAAGTGCACTTTTCATATCCAGTAATTTACAGATAACAATCAAAGCTATAATCATTAATTTGTTATACAGAGAAGAAGATACGAGATTTTACATCTGTGTTAAGATAATCTAAGATTAATGAGCAGTGCTGATGGCAGTGACAGTTGAAACCATGGATTCCACACCACAAAGGTTGCGACCTTTGCAGATTTTATAGTAGCCATGATCGCCCCAGTTCTCACCCCAAGAGTTCTTTATGATCCAATATGGTTTTTCCTTGAAGCGGATTGGAGCGTAGCCGGCAGATCCATAGCCCACAAGAAGAACACCGTGATTTTGATTCTTACCGCATATGTAGGGGCACGAAATGCCGTGGATGTATGTTTGCATGAAGACGGCGTTGATGCCCACTGAATGGTTCACGATAGCGGATTAGTGTCATGAAACAGCACAAAAATTAATAATAATAATAATATATTGTGTGTGTGTATTCATATAGACATGCATACATACATACATCTACATATATATATATATATATATAGTGAGAGAGAGAGAGAGAGAGAACTATAGCTTCTGAGCTATTAATGTTAGGGAGATGGAAAATTTTAGGCATTTGGAGTGGAATGAAGATCGTTGACAGAACATTATGCCACATAGGGCTCTAATGAGCTCTCAAATCTAGCACTACCACACTTGTGCAAACTTTGAACTCTCCATTCTTTTGATAATCTTCTCACACACTCTCAAGAGAACAAAGATGGAGAGACGTGAACCCAATTATCTCACTAATTTGTGGATTTGATGAGGACTACTGAATGAGTACTGATGTCTTAACGTTTTTACAGGCTAGAGACGAGATCTATCTACATTTTTATACAAGTTCCCTACAACAATAGAGCCATTTACCTCTACAACAGTCATAGAAAACTCTACAGTCAATAAGCAAAATATAAAATTTATAATCTTCCATAAGCTTCAATAACACTTCTTAAAGCCCTGGAGAATAGAGAACCTCATATTGGCTTAGGTCAAAAGAGGCCTATACATACTGCAGAACATTTTACTTCTCGAGAGTCTCATGCTCTTGCAGTGCATGAGCTATATTTTGAAAAAAAAATAAATAAAGAAAAAATTATTACATGAATATTTAATTGATGATGTAACAGATATATTGTTGGTTTTCAGTAGGATAATTTCATTAACCTTTACTAATGTCTAACGGTTTTACCTACTATTATTTTATTATCATCTGCTTCAACTACAATCCATAATAATTTAAACTAAAAAATTATCATTTAAAATCATAGCATCTGATGAACCATGTTGAAAAAAGAAATTATTTCTAGATCATATATACAATTTTAGATATGTATGAATAGATTGCTTCAAATGAGTTTTGAATGGTGAACTCAATTGATCTTTCAAACTTGCAAGTGTTCAGCAGCTAGCAGTGCTTCATTTATGAATGGCTTCTTACTACACGTTTCATCCATTCATGCTCACGAACTCATTCAAAGGAAGCATTACCCATCTAAAGTTCGCTATGACGTGTTAAATTATTAAGAAAATATATACTTTCTAAACCCAAAAGGCTAGCACCATAAAACGTACTGACTCAGGCAGCAATTAATAAGAGTGGCAAAACCACTATAGTCACAACACTAACATTGGCAGACAGCAATGCATAATATCAACTGCACGATACAAATAAAAATAAATGCAGTAGTTTAATGTTTAGCCACATTTGTAGAATATATAAAATGAAGCACTAAAATAACTACTAAACATAACTCTAATTGAGAAAATTTTAGCAAGGGAAGCATGAATCAACTTTTCCAACTAATGGGTAGGGGTGATATGCAGATAAGTTCATGTAAATCAACCTTTAACTAGAAATGGAATATTAGGAGTTTGAGTTGATTCGAGTTCAGTAGAAATTCATCAAATTTAAGTAGAGTTTAGAAATGACTTGATAAAGGTATGTTTCACTTGCCAATTAAGATTATAATCTATATATATGTTAACAATCTTTATTTAAAGCTGTATGATGAAATATAATATACATGCATACATGCATGTTATATATATATAATGGGTTATTTAATATGAATATATGTATAGTTAAGTATGTTATATATATATATATAATGGGTTATTTAATATGAATATATGTATATTTAAGCGCATAGAGTGCTAAAACACATGCTCATGTGTATAAATCATATATCCAGTCAACTTCAAGTTGAATAGAGCAAATTCGAAAATGACACCTTCAAGTTGGAACAAATGGATTTCAATTTCGAGCTTGTTAAAATTTGAGTGAGTTTTAATGTTTAGACATGACTATCAACCCTAGTAATGAACTAAATGAATTGTAAAGCAAGTATCACAACATTGCTTAGTTTAAGTTTTTATACAAACCTGCAAGAGGGCCATGGCTAACAAGATTTGCTGCAATTTGATCTTCATCAACAGACACAACACTGTAATTAGAAATAGAAGCTGTAATTTTGGCATTGTTAAATTTGCAGCCTCCACGATCATTTCCAGAATATGGGTAGTCTTTCTCAGTCTCAAGTCCACCAGACTTTAGCAAATACTCAAAGGCAGTGGTCATCAACCCACCATTGCATCCTGAATCACATGAATCTGGTTCTGACTCATCACACTGTAAAGGATCGATAAAAGTAGAGAAAATAAATTAGCTGGGTCAAGAGAACAACCATCATGTTTCACCAAAATCAACAATTGAGTTTAAAATCTTAAAGCACATGGACAACAATAATGATCATCTTTAAAGCATATATAAGCTCATGAACTAAAGCCAACCCAAAGAGCTTCTTGGCTTAATATTGGTTAATATTGAAAAATAAATGTGAGCTGGAGTAGCTATCTTACACATTTATAAAGTCAATAAAGTTTGAAAAATATATTTCTATATAGAATAAGCATGAGTTGATATATTACATATTTATTACCAAAAAAATTGCTACTAGATGGTCAGCACAAACAATAATACTGAAAATGCAAACCCGTGCAATGTAAAGATCAAAGATCCTACAAAAAAAATGAGCCTTCAAAGACAACTACAAATTAAAGACCCACAAAGCCTGAATAAATTAATACTATTGGCATTTTAAAAATAGTAAAAAAAACGCCAAAACATAAATATGTATTGAACCAAAAGTTACATAATAACATTTTAACAAAAAAACAGCAAAAAAGTAATTCTGAAAGTTGAATAAATTCATTAACACCCAAAATTATGCTTTTATCCATCCATTTAAGGAAAACAATTATCAGCGCAGGGGTTGCATAAAACATGTAATCAAAAGTAGATCTGAACTCATGAAATAAAACTAACCAAAAAGCACTTAAGGTAACTATATTGAACATCTAACATTCAGTTTGTTTATAATTTAGCTATTTCTGCCAAGTCGCTAGACTTTCCAGACAGTTGAAACACTCCAGTGAGATAATTACTGAGTTCTTTTTTGTTATAAGATTTTGTGAATGTTCTACTTATGAAACAGAAGTAAAATTATTGCATCAATATAAATGAAAACACCCCAATAGAGGTCTTGAATTTTGAAAACCAGAAGTTGTGCTCAAAATAATCTTTTTTTAGTCCAGTTCCATTTATTTCTGCTTTTAGAAATTGAGAAATTTTAAACCATAAACAATAGCAGAAAAGTTTAAACATTTAAAAATGTCAATAGCATCTATTTTAGCACATAAAGATGTAAAGCAACACTCCAAGATAGTACAGCAGGAAGAGGAGCCAATACTACTGATGCCGGGAGCAACTGCATGTTTTGAAAAATCAATAAGCAGATGGCTTCTACACGAGACAGTTTGAGTACAAATCTTATAAGCCCATCCCCGCAAAAAGGAAAAAAAGGGGGGAAAAAACAACCAGCATGCATGATAGCACAGAAACTGAAAACCCATGTAGAGTTAGAGTTTAAGATCTTAACGAAGGGACGAAGCTTTCAAATTAAATGCAAAAGACTACACCAAATTAACAAAATGGCACCATTTGCATGAAAGGGAACAGGAAGGCAATAACAGAAAAACATAAAATGAGTATTGATCATAAAATCAATTTCTTATAAAGAAATAGAGTTTGTCTCATAAAGTTGCGTTTGCATAAAAGTTTAAGGAATTGTTTAGCGGTTCATTATTTTACTTTCTAAGAGAAATGCAAGAATACTTACTACCAGGACACTCACAGTTTAGCTTTCTTTGTATTTTGATTTTGAACTGAAAGATTGGAGGGAGATCTTAGAGTTAGAATATAATATTTTGGCAAAAATTTGAGTTGGTTTCAATTAAACTAGAGAGATACTTTTTTTCAACATTTAGTATGAGCAAAACTAATGAAAATTCATCACCTAATTAGACGAGAAGACCAGGATATTCATTCCAAAAAAAGAAAATGAGACAATGATCTTTGAACAAGTTCATAACCAACCCAAGATTCAAAAGTAATCTAAGAAAAAATAAACTACAAAAACAGGTAACAACGTTTCCATAAGTTTGCATACTGACAAAACAAAATCAGTGTAATAACTGATAGTGAAAAGTTCAGTACTTATTTAAAAAGTTCATAATTTAAAGATGTAATTACCAAGGAGAGAGAACATCGCAGAAAGTGAAAAAAAGAGAGAACACTTTACCATAATCCTTCTTAGAATGAAAGATTCATGTAGCATATAGAAGAAGACTAAGGAAATCTTCTGACATCAACCCATTTTTTTGGCAAAGAATTCTACGCACACAACAAGAAGAATGTCATCACACAAATAAATGACCACAAACTAGAAAAACTGAGTTGTTTGGTTGCTGGAAAAGGAATGTTGTGCCAAAGTGATGTATTATATTTTAAATATTTTATTATTATTTGGTTTTATATAAAATAAACGCTAGACTAATACCGGAGTTAAACTAAACTACAACGGAAACACAACAATTATTTCTGAATTCCAAATATATTACCAACACGATATGGGAAAACAGGAAATAGAAGGAAAACAAACATGACAACATAAATAATAAAAGAAGTCCGTGGAGACGAGGACGGAGGCTGCTAGACGGCGGTTGGTGGCGGAGGAAAGAAGGTTGTGGCTTTAGGGAGGTGGCATGAAGGATAGACAGCCGTTGGAACAATAAGACAACTTAGGGCGGCAATCAAAACAGCATTCCGCTGCTGTTTGGGGTGTTGGACAGCAAGCAAACAGCAAAACGAATGTGTTGTGTGCTGCAACAACGAAGTTGGAGGGCTGGGACAGTGAGGGTAGCAAGGAAGGAGGATAAGGCAATAGGGGCGGCTAGAACCGTAGAAAACAATAGATCTTTGCTGTTCTGGGCGGTGGCAGCAAGGGGGGGCAATGATAACAACATCGTACTGCAGCTGAAAAGGTGTAGGAACATTATCAGAGGTCGGATTGGCGGCTGCAGTGAAGGCCGGAGAGGTGGGGCTGCTGTGGAAGAAGTAGGGCAACAACCGAAAGGATTGATGGGGAGATAAATATCTCGGCGGGGTTGAGCTAGATACGGAGCACCACCCGGACCCGTAGAGACGATCACCACTTTGGACAACGGACATCCGGAGCACTACCTTGGCGTCGGATACAACCCTCAAGAGGGAAAATACTAAGAAAAAACTGAATTGGAATTTCATAAAATAGGCCCTTTACCCTAGACACAAGAACTCTTATTTATAAAAGACTTGACTCTACTTTAGGAAACATTAAAATATGAAATGAATAATATCATATTTCAGAATTTAGGCAATACTTTTAAAATAGGGAAGGAAATAAGATAATAATTCAGATTTAATGCAAGGGGTTTAAAATTAGAAGGAGAATAAAATCAAATTTTGGTTTTTACAGAAAGGCTTATGAAGGCAAGGAAAGAAAAAAAAAGAAAGAAAAGGAGGGTAGGAAAAGGAAAGAAAAAGAAGTAGGAAGTGGGGGCGGTGTGGCCCCCCTCCATGGGAACCGACCGGTCCAACTGGGCTAAACCTGTGCCCGGTCAGCCTTCCCATGAGCCCCATATCATGAACAATATATTTTCTTGTCTGTTTTGAAGGGGAAAAAAATTTAAGTTGTTAAGGGTGATGGTGTCAAGCGGTGGTTGTTAGGGGGTGGGTGGGGGAACAACAGGCAGTGGAGGCGAAGATGACGAAAGGTTGGTGCAAGCGGGCGAGGGCTACTATGGGAGGTCAATAGTGGAGATTGTGACTGGCAGGTGCAGGTTAGTGCAGGTTACACAAAACGTTGTATTTGGAATTCAACCAAATCCATTGAATCCCAAATATATTGAAAGTAAACTAGAGATCGAATTACAAATAATTAGAATTTTACATTGCATACATTTTTCTTCTAACCAAACGCTTAAATTATTAAAAACCCTGCAAAAAAAATGCACTGCACTCCTTTTGTTGCCAACAAAACCACCCCTATGAAACCCGGTGAATGACCGCATCAAAAAGATAGTCAACATAAATATGACCTGAAAACATAACCCTATGGGAAGCAGAAACATAAAATCAACCGATTCATTCCGAGAGAATTCCAATCAGCCGTATAACAATAAATCTTCGTCAGTTCACCACCTTCGAAAACAAGCAATTATGTAAACAATACAAGTCAGGAGCTTTCAACACAAATGATTAAAAGAAAAAAAGAGCATAACTTTCGATCAAATTTATAATATAACATAATTTTGTAGAAATGCAAGGCGCACCCTTTTTTTTTACTAAAAATGACAGTCAAATTATTTGTTCGAAACAAAATCGTATTTCCATACATTTATAATCAAATGCTTTGACTTTTGATCACATGTTGTATCAAAAGCTCCTGAATGAAATTTTCAATCAAAATACAAACAGAAAGGAAAGAATATACCCAGAAAAAGGGGAATCGGTAAGTTTTTAATCACGAACCATATGATCGCAGTCAACCATTTGCTGCTCGCTAAGGCTAATTAATTTTCCAGTTGCCAGAAAATTCGCCCCTTCCACAGCTGCTGCCGCACTAAACGACCAGCAAGAGCCACAAGACCCCTAAAAATTCATTCGTGATAATCAAACTCAGTTTCAAAACATATAGATCACCCCTGGCAAAAGGCTTATTCAAAAACAAAAACCTGATCCTTCACGCCAGTGACGGCACCTTGATCCCTCCAGTCAAAATCAGTAGGGAGATCATTCGTCGGTAAAATCGGAGCCTCATGTATACTCCCTAGTAAGCGACGGTTCTGCCTGACTCCAAGATACTTCCGACGGAACTCCGCCGGCGTGAGATCAGAGAACTTCGTTATTCCATGAACAGCCGAAGGGTCCAGTTTCTGGTGCCTCAAGAGGAGGAGGAGGGGGAGGAAGAGGGGGCGAGTCATGGGATTATAGATTGGGGATTGGGGAATGGGAGGGCCACCATCGGTCACTCTGGTGAATTTATCATCTTGGTTGCGTGCTTGGTAGGTCGGTAGCTCCCTTTTAGAATTGATTAATCCTTGAGGGGGCCATCGACACTAATATAATGGAAATTTACATACATAGCACACAAGTCTCATTTATTTACATGTCTCACACTTAAACTTTCTTTTTTACGGTAGGAGGACGAGGCGAGTCATGGGATTATAGATTCGGGATTGGTGAATGGGGGCCACTATCGGTCACCGGTGAATTTATCATCTTGGTTGCGTGCTTGGTACGTCGGTAGCTCCTTTTTAGAATTGATTAATCCTCGAGGGGGCCATGGACACTAATATGAGGGAAATTTACATACATAGCACACAAGTCTCATTTATTTACATGTCTCACACTTAAACTTTCTTTTTTACATGTATAGCCTTTTGGTGTTTTAAATCTATGCACGAAAAAAGTGTTTGTCACTAATAAAAAATTCTAATAGTTTATTTTTTATGTGATATTATTGATTTAAGTGCTAGATGTGTAAATATGAAAGTGTAGGTGCGAGATACATAAATACATAAAATATAGTCAACTGTAAGGTGCGGTCCCAACGAAAAAAATGACGAAAAAATCATTTATTTTCATGCCCGGCCCGGCCCGAACTAGCCCATTGCTTAAAAAATAGAACGCGCCGAGTCATAACGTCAGGATCATTGCATCGAAAAAAACCCAGCGGTGCGGCTCTTCACTCTCTATTTTCATCATTCGCCATCTGTTAGGGCTTTCCATTGCGTGAATCTGGTAGCTAGGGTTCGCATTATCGTTTGTTGGTTGAGATATATGCGAAGTCTTGTGATGTTAAGGTTTTTCCGATACAAGCTTTGCGTGAGAATTTAAGATTTAGGGTGCGAACTCATGTAGCTCTTTTCATCTTTTGAAGCAAACTAATACATGACAATGGAAGAGAAGAAGAAAACCAAAGAACCTAAGAAGATGGAGTTGAAAGAGTCTGAGTAGATAGAGTTGGAAGAGCCTAAGAAGATGGAAACTGAAGAGCCTAAAAAGATGGAAACGAAAGAGCGTAAGAAGAACGAAGCCAAAAAAACCTAAGAGTTATCAAACGTCATCTAGGTAATTCTTTTTTAGGATTGTATTTGCATTCAAAAGTCTATTGCAACCGAGAAAAACATTTCATCGTATAGTATTTGACATATCTTGTAGCATGTTAATTTTTCTTTATATTTAGAGCATATTTTTGATGAAATTGCACTTTAAAGAAATGTATTTTAATGTTTGCAGGTATAAAAGAGGAGATTTAGAGCAAATTGAAGAGAAAATGGATCGAAAAGAAGCAAATGAAGCAATGGAGCGACAACATGTTGGCGCTTAGGAGCCGGAAGCTAGCGCCTAGGCATCGGAAGCTGGCGCCTAGGCGCCAGATAGTGTCCAGCAAATAGAGAACATGAAGAAATGGCACTACAACTGGCGCCTAGTCTCCAATTATTTTTCTCTGCATACCCGAGAAGGTGGCGCCTAGGAGTCAGAACTAACCTGGGTGGTTTCTGTAGCAATTATGCATGAATTTGGAGGTTAACGGGGTGAAGCAATTCTAACAGCGAGGAAGATCTTTTTTGAAGTGAAAAAAAGAGTCTGAGTGTGCAAGAAAGTAGAGTTTAAAGTGAGATTTTGCAGTTTTCTGCATTTTCTTAGAGAGAATTGAGAGGTTATTGTAAAGGATTGTTGTAAGCATTGCAAGGAACACTTGTAGATCATTTGGGGATGAGTTTTCACTTCTTTCTTAGGAAAAAAAATAAGTGTTTCATTCTATATTGTCATATATTAATTGTAAACTCATTGTGTATGAATTTCATTTATTATATGATAATGGATTGTTGTGTTTTCTTCATACATTGTGAGTAGATCATTTTTACCTTTCTCTTGTGATGAAGTAGTAGTATGTGTAGGACATGTGAATACATTTAGAATTAATTTTTTTTCATTATTGTGATGATTTTTACTTCATGCTTCATTTACTTATCAATCTGGCTAATTGGTATGTTAAAACATGTTATAAATCCATAATGATTTGAGAGGGTTATGGCTTTAACAACTAGTAGAAATCACAGTGCGCTATTGGGTGAAGGAAAAATAGTTCATAGGGCAGTGCAAATAGATAAGAAGATAGGTTTTGATGGGGGTAACTTGGAGGATTCTAGGGTGCTAGGTAGAAACACTTACCTAGTTAAACCAAACTTCTTTATGCACTAGAAAGAGAGTAAAGAAGAGAAATGCTCCTAATTGTCACTAATTATAATCTATAATCTAAGTGTTCCATTCCTACACAAATTACTTCTTTGCAAAGGGAGGGTATTTTAGCCTTCCCTTTGGAATCGATACTCTGGACTAAAAAATCTGATACTACTTGAACGATGTGTATGCTTGCGTAAAATATCTAGTGTGAGGTGCTAAATTGTAGAAAAAATCATGTTATAAAATTTATAATACATTTTCTAGATTTAAAATATTTCATCCAAAAACTTTAGGAATCTGACAGGATCGGTCAAGTTCTTGGTGCCGTTGCTGGGGAAGTGCGATGGTTAACTTGACTTTGGAAAATCTTAGTTGAATTAATTAGACTTAGATTTAGAAAATCATATTGTAGTTTTCTTTGTGTAAGAGTTTTCTTGTGTTTTTAAATAATACACATTAAAAAAAAAATAATTATATTTGAGTGTTTGTCTTCTGAGTTTTTTTGTAATTTGCTTATTGAATTCTTAGTTGTGTGCGCGTAGCGCAGAACCTTTAGGACCTGTACCCTACAATTTTGAATTAGAAAAAACAATTAACAAGATTAGAAAATAAAAAGGACTTCACCTATTTGTAGAAGAAATAACAAAAATTAAACAAAACAACTTAGATAATCAAAGGCCTGAAAATGAACATCATAACGTGCATAGGCCATTAAGGGATTAGGCTAAACCTACGACAGATGAAATTCACTTAAATATACAAACTCCTGCTGTAGAAGCTAACACATTTGAGTTGAACCCTGCTATTATCCAAATGGTGCAGAACAACCGGTTTGGGGGAACTCCATCTGAGGATCCAAATTTACACTTAGTTAGTTTTCTAGAACTATGCACAACATTTCATTATAGCGGTGTGTTAAATGACGTTGTTAGACTTCAGCTTTTTTCTTTTTTTTTAAGGGATAAAGCTAAAATGTGGTTGAATTCATTAGCGCTTGGATCTATCAGGACTTGGGGTAACTTAGCTCATAAATTCCTAACTAAGTATTTTCCATCATAAAAAACTGCTAAACTTAGAAATGATATTACTTCATTTTGTCTGTATGAAGGTGAATCAATATACGAAGCATGGGAAAGATTTAAGGAACTTCTTAGGAAGTGTCCACATCATGCTTTGCCCGATTGATTAATCATTCAAATAACTTACAAGGGGTTAATATAATCACTTAGATTTATCATTGATGCTGTTGGTGGTGGTTCACTCATGTCGAATCCATTTAATGAAGCTTACTCTTTAATTGAAGAGATGACTATAAATATTTTCCAAAGACCTTCTGAAAGAGTAAATTCTAGAAAGATGGCTAGTATTCATGATACAGATATGTTATTAATTCTTACTTTTCAGCAGCAATATCTAGGAAGCTAGATCAATTTCGAATGAACCAATCTCAAATTCCTTTAGCAATTGAGGAAAATTCATTAAAATAGATGGTTGATTCCAAAACTTCATCTTCAGAGAACTTAATTATCATTAATAACAAACATAAGAATCCTTACTTCAACTTATATAACCCAGGTTGGAATAATCATCCTAAACTTAACTGGAATAATAATTCTGGTGAGGGAAACCAACAATAGGGAAATAATTAAGTAAATCATGTAGGAAACTGGAATAACCAGAGTAGTACCAACTATAGACCTTCTTATCCACCAGAATTTAACAATAATCCATAATTTAAGGAGAAGAAGTTGTTTATAAAAGAGGTTGTGGTGCAACAATAAGAAATATCGAGAATCAACTGGGACAAATTGCTAACTCACTCAGCAATAGACCATAAGGAACGCTTCCTAGTAACACTAAGATAAACCTTAAAGATAAGAATAAAGAGCAATTTAATGCTATCCAACTAACAAGTGGAAGAGAGATGGAGGATGTAGTTCAAAGAGAGACTGGGGTTGAAAGAGAGACTTCAGAAACTGAAAGATCTAAAGAAAATGTTTCTAAGTAAAAACCAACCTCTCCAACTAGGATTAACTTAGAAAAAACCACTACCTCCATTTCCTGTAAGACTTAGGCATCAAATGTTGGATAAACAATTTTCAAAATTTCTAGAATTATTTAAGAAGTTAACCATTAATATTTTAACCATTAATATTCCTTTCACTTCACTGAAACTTTAGAGCAAATGCCCAGCTATGTAAGAAGTTTATGAAGGACATCCTCAATAAGAAGAGAAAGTTTGGAGTGCATTGCTATAATTCAGAAAAAAAACTTTATAAAAAACTTACAGATCTTGGGAGCTTTTACTATTCCTTGCGCCATAGAAGAAAAGCTTTTGGAAAAACTTTATGCGATTTAGGAATAAGAATTAACCTTATTTTGTTATCTACTTTCAGAATGTTAGTTTTAGGAGAGATTTCTTCAACTACTATAACTCTTCAGTTAGTTGATCGATCAATCACTTATCCTAAGGGGGTTATAGATGATGTATTAGTTAAAGTGGATAAATTATTTTTCCTTGTTAATTTCATCCTATTAGATATGAAGAAAGATAAATAAATCTCAATTAATTTAAAGAGACATTTCTTGCCACCGAACAAACTATGATAGATGTGCAAAAATGTGACTTAACTATGAGAGTCAATGATCTAGAAGTTACACTTAATGTCTTAAAATCTATGAAATATTCTGCTTAAGGAAAAGAAAATGAGTGTTTTCAGATGAACTTAAT